GGTTATAGAGAAAACTCTCCTTGTCTTTTCAAGAAACTGAACATGGGGCAAAAACTTTACCTTCGATTTTCTGAAAAGAGCATTTCTTTGGGATAGCCCCCTTGTGCTTAATTAAACCCTATCCGTACGTCGTGTTTTACTATCGTATCCATACGACGTGGGGAACTCTGTGCCACCACTTAACCCTATCCGTACGTCATGTTTTACTATCTTATCCATACGACGTGGGGGAACTCTGTGCCACCACTTTCCAAAGAGGAAATTTACTCGTTAATCCCATCCGTACGCTTTGCATAGCAGTCTGTCAAAATGATTTTTTAGAAAAATTATATTGAAAGTTTCAAAGAGATCTTCAAACTAGAAGTATTCTAAAATGTGAAGAATACAACCCCGGGGGTACAAAATGGCCCCAGGGCGTACGGATAGGGTTAATTAAATGCGACCATTTTATGTAGAATCCTTCAACTACCAACTTCTATAATTAAAAGCAATATTTAAAAAATTTTTTACATTCTGGAAAATTTAAAAAATTTTAACAAACACTTTCGCAGTGCCCAGACAGACAGGCAGTCACTGACCTTGACCTGACCCTCTCGTCGCCGGAAGTGGCCCCGGTGTCAGAGGTCACACTGTCCACACGCTCCATCATGCGGGCCTTGATGGCGGCAACTGGGGAGGTTAGTTTAGTTTTCGTAAGAGTTTTACGGCACTTGCAACACAATACGGTCATATAAGTGCCGAAGATTCGAGGTGTTACAAGAGAGTAACATACATAAAAAAGAAGGTGAAGGAGAGATCAGGACGATAGATGTTTGATAGGAAAGAAAGAGCAAATCACACTAGAGCACCCACCAACCACCCACAAATAAAGGGTTAAAACATGTTAGCAGTGTGTGTGTTCACAAGTGTGTCTGTCGGTGTGTGTGTCCACAAGTGTGTCTGTCAGGGTGTGTGTTCACAAGTGTGTCTGTCAGTGTGTCTGACTCACTCTCCGGGTCTTTCTCATCCTCGTCATCGCTCTCCTCCGTGGCCAGATACATCCGGAGGAACTGCGCGAAGGCGCCGTCGTGCGACATCAACTCCTCGTACGAGCCGATTTCGGAGATACGCCCGTCTGTGAGGACAACGATCCTGTCTACCTGGGGCAGCCAGTGCACTCCGTGCGTCACCAGGATACGGGTCTGGGGGGGAGAGGCGTAACTGACTAACAAGGCGTAACTGACTAACGTGTTTGCCCACGTGCGAGTCTCTCTCTCTCTCTCTCTCTCTCTCTCTCTC